CCCTCTCCCCTCTCTCTTCTCTCTCTCTCCTCTCCCCTCTCCCCCTCCCCCCTCTGTTGTTTTGTTTTGAGACAGGGCCCTGCTATAGCCCAGGCTGCCTCCCAATTGCAAATGATTATATTCTATCATTCCTTCATTGATCATTAATTTAAATAACTCTATAAAGAGAACCATATCCTCATCAACTATTTAGTTACTTTAAACATAGTTTGTAGCAGAGAGGTAGGAATAGTGCTTAGTACTTTTCTATTAATCAGTTTCAAAGTAATGAATCAGTTACAAATTTGTGGATCTGAATGTATTTGGTGGATGTCAATCATTTGTATTTACTATTATTTAGTGCTCAACTTGTCCCATCTTTGGCCAATAGAAGCTTACTTAAGTTGGCAAATTAGCTCTTTTATGTTGTTGTGCATTGGGCAATTAATACTTTAAAATTTGAACTTTATGCATCTTTTATTGAGGTATAATTCATATACCCTTGAAAGTATAGTTGTGTTAGTCAGTTCTTACAAGAGTCAAGTGCAGAAGCATGCAGGGCATCTCTATGGCCTGGAATCCAGAAGGATCCAGTCAAGGGCTCAGAGCCCAGACAATGTCCTGCACAAGTCCTTGTCAGGAGACAGAAGGGTCCAAGATGGGAGATGGAAGGATCTGCACCAGAAAGCCCACGGGCTAGTGCTGGAAGCTCAAGTGTCTGTGCTAAAAGGCCGCAGGATCTGAGCCAGATGGCTGAGGGATCTGCACTGGAAGCCAGATGATGTCCAAGAGGGAGATAACAACGGAAGAAAGAAAGCAGCTAAAGCTTTTAAAGAAAAACCTGCCCAAACTGAAGAATAGTGACTTCTATGAGGCTCTTCCAAGGAAGATCAGCTGAGATCTTTCCCTCTTGTTCTTTCTTTCTTTATTTATTTATTTAATGTATTTGGTTGGTGCAGGGTCTCACTACACAGCTCAAACTCATGGTGATCCTCCTGTTTTCAGCCTCCCCAGTGCCAGGATTACAGGTGTGAGCCACTACACCAGGACTCTGGCTGGCTCAGAAAGTATAGTTGTGTTAGTCAATTCTCAAAAGTCAAACGTAGAAGTGTGCAGGCCCCTGGGGGCCATGCACCATGTGGTGCTGGGGTTCCCTGCACTTGCCTAAGCAGGTGCTTTAGTCCGCTGAGCTATCTCATCAGCCCCTCATTCCCCTTTTAAACCTTTCCACCAACAAACCTCCTCAAGTGGGTCCTCCACATCCAGAACCATGCTACTCCTCTTGGCTGCGCTTCCTTACTCAAACTGACAATTAGCCAATTAGCCAGCACAATAGTATTCCATGGCATTTTGGTGGCAGAAGTTTTGCTAACATCACCATCGTCTAATTCCAAACTGTTTTTATCACTCCAGTAGGAAACCTCTTGCCTAGTCTGTGATTTAAAATGACTTATTTATTTCTGGAATTTTCTACTGGTTATTTTCAGGCTAGAGTTGGTCACAAGGGCACCCTTGGAAAGGAAAGCTGCAGAGAGGACACTTTGGGGCTCTCTAACACATACCCCCACTGACCAGTGGGATTCCCACCATCCCGGTATAGTTACGGGAATAGTGACTGTGAGTCCCCAGCTGAAACTAGTGTCTTAGGAACTGCAAGTTGGACCTTAAGAGAATTTAAAACTAGAAGTCCTGTCAAAGATGTTCAAAAATCAAAACACTATTCATCCTCAAATAATTCAATCTAGTCATTTACAAAAGGGTTCGCTCCTATGGATTCAAATGTTAGTTTCTACTGTATTAACTAGTAAACTAAGAGGCAGAGAAATTTAAATCCAAATTGTTAGGTGTCTTGTTTAGGTAAGTGCAGGGGCCAGGGTTCGATCCCTGGCTCTGCATGCCATGCTGGCCCTGCCCTTGGGCACAATGAGCTGGTGATGGAGTCCAGGTGTGATGGTGCTAGAGAGGCAGAAATCAGGAGGATCACTACAAGTCTGGGCTGTGTAGTGAGACCCTGCACTAAAAAAAAAAAAAAAGAAAAAAAAAAGAGAAGAAAAAAAATTGTTAGGTGTCATTCCCTAGAAAGAAAGAAGTATTCTATTTTCATATATTCAGCCTGAATGTATGGTTAACAGAAACAGACCTATCATGAAAAAATAAATTTTGTTTCTCAGAATATTATCAATGTCTTGTTTTTTAATAGTCTCCTACTTTGGCTAACAGGGTGAACTCAAAATCCTTCCTAAATAATTGTTGGCCCAAGCAGCCTGGGGTGGGGTGGGGGATCTCTCTTGTGCCCACACCATGATCTGAGCAGAAGCAATTGAAGAAAGACATTTTCTTCCTGTAACCTCATAGCCTGTATCCTCAGAGCCTTGCTACAGAATTATCTTGGTGGTTGGGACTTGGAACCCATTCAGAATGTTGAGCTACTTTCCAGCACTAGCATTTTACACCGAGATGCCAGGTTCCTTCTGAATACATCTGTCATCCACCAGGTACAGCCTTTCTGCCTTCCTGGGTAACCTCTGATTCACCCACCCATAAATACCCGGATGGAGGAAGTGGCCAGGGGAAGACTGGCCTTTATGGGGGCTAATGCATCTTTTATAGATAGGATCAGCCCTTCTGTTAAATTGCTTTAATCCTGAATTTTATGGAAAACAAACAGGTAATATAAATGAATGTAGAGGATAGAAGGGTCACTCACCTGTTTTGACCTCAAGGGCTCCTCCAGAGCTTCTCTTTGCTCCATCCACTACAGACATCTGTGTAGTCACAGCGTGTCTCAGTTCAAAGGGACTTTGGTTGTGGTCAAGAGAGTGGGGAGACCATCAAGTCTCTTTCTCTGTTTTTTTTTTTTTTTCCAGTTTACCCCCAACCAGTTTGAATCTTTTTGTTCCATTTGTGTTTTTCCCCCCAGCCCTGCTGCCCATTCTCTCCTATTGCAGAAGAAAGGCCAACCTGAAAGTAAAAGAGATAGATGAGGCTTCTGACATTTTAGATCTGGAAGGTCAGAACCCAGACAGGCGCCAGCTCTGCTGAATGTTCTCCAGAGAAACAGTTCCCCCTCACTGCACATTTGAAACTTCTGGATGAAGAACTTCAGTGCTAAAGCTAATAAGGCCAATATGGTGCTTGGCGTATAATGGAAGATCAATGGACTTTTGTTAAATGTTAATTCAGAATTTAATGGACATAAATCAGCAAATGGATCATCCCTCCCAATATCAC